GCTTCTCTGCCTTGGGATGTCCTCCTAGAAGCCAGCAGGGCCAGAGTCAGGGGAGGGTGGGACTGACATCTGAGGATGCCTTCCTCAGGGTAGGCAGTAGGCCGGGCCCTTCCTGCTGTCACGTGGTATGATGTACGTGACGGTGCAAGGCTGGTGGTGACTGGTCCGTATTTTTTTTTCAGCTTATCCACATGCATGAATTTTCAAAATTGAGATAGAAGGTGTATATCATAAAGACTCACTTCTTTAAAGTGTACAATACAGTGGTTTTTAGTGTGCTCACAGAGCTGTGTAGCTGCCTCACTAATTCTAGTCCATTTTCGTCACCCTCAGAAGAAACTCAGTGCCCATTACCAGTCACCCCCATTTGTCCCTCCCTCCGCTCCCAGCATCCGTGCAGCTGCGCTTAGTCTCTGGATTTGCCTGTTACAGGCACGCTCTCTGAACAGCCTCACATGTACATGGGCCTTTGTGTGTGCCTCCTTGGACCTAGCATAATGTTTCTAGACGTGCCCATTTTACAGGTTAGGCAACTGAGGCTTGGAAAAATCCAGGCTGCGTGTCCTGCAAGGTACAGAGATCAGATCAGAACTCATTTGGGGTTAAATTATTTTCCTTCCCACTCTACATGCCACGCTGAGGAGACACCAGAGTTGGGGGGCAGGGGGTGGGAATAGGTGCCTGGCCCTGGGGCTCCTGTAGCCTGGCTGCTGGGGGATGGGGGAAGTGTGGCTGCAGGTGTAGACTCTGACCCTGTGGGGGTGTTGGGAGGGTACCCAGGACCCTTCTTCAATGTCTGACCAACCCCACCGTGACCTGTCACACCCTATGTTCAAGGGCCACAGCATCTTCCCAGGCAAGGGCTTTGGGAATTGGAACATGTGCGGGCAGATTGCTCTGTTTTTATTTTTATGTTTTGATGGAGTCTCACTCTGTTGCCAGGCTGGAGTGCAGTGGCGCGATCTCGGTTCACTGCAGTCTCCCCCTCCTGGGTTCAAGCAATTCTCCTGCCTCAGCCTGGGATTATAGGCACCCGCCACCACACTTGGCTAATTTTTATATTTTTAGTAGAGATGGGGTTTTGCTATGTTGACCAGGCTGGTCTCGAACTCCTGACCTCAGGTGATCTGCCTTCCTCGGCCTCCCAAAGTACTGGGATTACAGGTGTGAGCCACTGTGCCAGGCCTTATTTTTATTTATTTATTTTCTTGTGGGGAGAGGGTGTCACTGTGTTACTCAGGCTACAGTGCAGTGGTGGCACTATCACGGTTCACTGCAGCCTCCAACTCCCAGGCTCAAGCAATCCTCCTGCCTCAGCCTCCTGAGTAGCTGGGACCACCGGCATGTAGCTGGGACCACCATGCCCAGCTAATTTTTGTATACTTTTTTGTAGAGTCAGGGTCCTACTCTGTTTGCCGAGGCTGGTCATGAACTCCTGGCCTCAAGCAGTCCTCCCACCTCGGCCTCCCAGAGTGTTGTAATCACAGGCGTGAGCCACTGCACTGAGCCCAGATTGCTGTAATGGAGAATTTATCACCCTGGAGTGAGAGGTGAGGCTGAATAGTCATTCATTTCTTATTTATACCTGTCTGCTTCTGTCAGGCTCTGTGGCCCTGGCCAGGAAGGCTGGGGCTGTGCTAGTACTATTTATGGAGAGTCCTGAGATATCAAAGTGTGGCAGGGTGAGGGTCATGCCATCAAAGAAGACTGTGTGTGAAGTGGCTTTGGAGTTGGACGGCTGGTTTTGAACACTGGCTCTGCCATTTGATCTCTCATAGTCTTGGGAAGTGTGTGAACCTTTTTGCAGAATCAGTTTCCCTACCAGCAAAATGGAGCAGGCTTACTCCGTACGAAGCAGATCTCTTGTGAGGATTAGAGGTGATGATAGATCCAGAGTAGCTGATGGGATACCTCGCACACAATGGAGACCCAAGCAATGTAGCTTTATTCCCAGAAGACCAAGGTTGTGATTGGCAAGGGGTACCTGAGTTTCCTGGGAGCCAAGGGGAAAAGGGAAGTATGAGGAGGTTGAGGACTCGTCCCAAAGCAGGCAAGCACCTCAGGAGGCAAGGGCACTGCATTCAGTGCTAAGCAGTGATGCTAGGGCTCTTTAAGGGGTAACTGAATGTCATTACTCAGGACAAAGGCTTCTATCTTGATTCTATGACAGGTTGATGTGATCCTCCCATGACTGTGCAAATTATCATAATGCAAGGACACACTCATATAATCACAGTGGTAGAAGCTGGGATGTCACCTTCCAGCCAGATGTCCTCAGAGGCCAGGTGACAGTGTGTAGGGCTTCCCGCACACGGGCTGTGGGGCTGGCAGGTGACTTGACTCTGCCTGCCACTTACCAGCTGTGTGGCCTCGGCAAAGCCTGTTCCTAGGGTGGTGACTGCAGGAAAATCCCTGCCAGCGCTCTCCTCGGCCTCAGCACCCCTCCTCTGGATGTCTTCCAGCCTTCCAGTTCAGACCTCTTTGTCCTTTTCTAACATGAAGCTGTGGACAGCCCCTCCCTCCCAGGATTGCTATGAGTCTGAGCTGAGGTCCTTGCAAAGCCCTCTACACAGAGCGTACCCTGTTACAGCACCTGGCCAAGGGTGACAGCTGTGTGTCAGTGGAGAGTCAGAAGTAACAGCTTTGAACATGGCCCGGTGATGCTTCGTAGTACAAATGCCTTGTGCTCCTGTTCTGAGCATGGTAGGCTGCAGGGGAGACCTTTCCCTTGGTTCAGGGGCCCAGCCCTAGGGCACCGCTGGCCCCAAGTGCCTCAGGAGGAGTTGCCCACCCGCAGATGCCTCCCAGGGACAAGTGGCAGGTTTTGAACCGGGCCTGGTGAGTATGCAGCTCTACTGGCTAAGGACAGGTGGTGAACTGTTTTTGAGAGTGATTTGAGATTCTTAAATATTGAAATGCAACTCACATAGCATAAAACTAACCATCTTAAGGCACAGAATTCAATGGCCTTTAGTACATTTGCAGTGCTGCGTCACCATCACCTCCATCTAATTCTAGAACATTCCATCCCGAGGAAAGCCCTCTGCCCATGAGCTGTCCCTCCCCTTTTCCTCTCCTCCATCCCAGAGGCAGCCACTCTGTGCTTTCTATCTGGATTTGCTTATTCTGGATGTTTCACGTAAGTGG